TCTAACAATACATGATAACAATATATTATAAAATATATTTTAACAGTATTCATGTTGTATCTTACTCGTGTTCATATATTGTGTCCCATAAATACTAGAATGCAGCAGGGGGAATGGTTGTAATTGTAATGATGTAAATGTTTTTTAACCTTCGGATTTAGTTCTAGGGACTATTGGAGAGAGATCTTGTAGGAGAGGATCTCGTTCTATAAGATATGTATTTGACACTTTTGATTGGACATTCATTTAAAAAAAATATTTAATGATTTAATTTTATTATATTATTGTTTTAGAGCAAGTTAATTTTTTCTATAATAAAATATATATATAAATAATATAGTATTTGTATATTTTTGTTTAGTATTATATACATCTAACAGACTTACCCGAGTTCTAGATAATTTAGGTTTAGTTTGACAAGAAATTTTCAATTTTACTTTTCTTTCATTTAAGAGATCAATCTTGTCAACAAATTGGAGAGTAAAATTCTTGCAATTTGGGATTTGATTTCATATGCTTGATTCTTGATTTTTATTTAAACAATTAATATAAAAATTAAAGATAAATTTATGCAAATTTAATGAAGAATATGTCATCAATATAGTATGACTTTTTTTTATATATAATTTATTTCAATAAGAAAAATAAATTAAGTGTAATTTAAAAAGAAATGGCATTATAGTCATTTAATGAAAAATAGTCTAGGCATTGGGGCATTTTACAACGAAATGAGATAGTTCAGGGAGTATTATGCACACAATATAGTTCAAGGAAGTTCTTCTAAATTCAGATATAGTTCAGAGATTTTTTTTGTACTTTATCTGTCAATTTGAATTGTGTATATATTCCAATATGAGACTAGTACTCGGCTATTAAAATTGGATTAGGAGTTTGGACATTTGTGCCGCCAGTTCAGCCCAGCCCACATCACCTAGTCCTTTCAATTTTTCATATAGGGAAGTGGATTTTCTTAAACAAAACCATACACCTACAATATGGTCCCTTGTAAGGCTCAAACTCTTGGGAAGAACCATTAGTCTTCCCAATGAATTCAAGTGTTACTGCAAGAAGTTCGTTTAAACCACCATTTCGGTTGAAATGCTACGCTTGTGTAGCAGTGTTCTTTGTTAAAAGCAAGTACTTTGAACGAGCCATTTTTATTACAGAAGTTTTTTCATTGTTACATGGTGATGCTATGGAAAGATGCGTTAGAATTGTAAGAACAACACGTTTAAACGAGTAGTGATATTTGAGCGGAAGAGTTGGGCAGAATCTTTGACCAAATACATTTGATTGATCATTAATGTAAGAGATAAGAAAGTGGATGATCCACTTTTTTATATTCGGCTTGCATTGACCAAATAGAAGCATTCGGTTAAGGAATTCTGCAAAAATCATCGACTTTAAAATCATTTTCCCATTAAAACATATTGTTGCAGTATCTGTGGTTGGTGAATGTTGACAAACAATAAACCCCGAGAATGATGTTCAATCTACCATTATTCGCCTCTTTTAACATTTAGTAAAATAGAAAGTCTGAGTTTTTATCATGTTCTTAAGACAATAGACAAAAGTGTCAATTTCATACATGTTAATGATTTTTTTTTTTGTCTTAGCATAATATGGTGTAGTGACTTTTAATAAACAAAGTATGGTTTTATAAAGCAAGCCCAGATTGGAGCACAACACACAGAACTAAACAATTTCATGGAAGTAATAGTCAATTTGCCAGCCCCATAAGATCCAAAGGTTCCATAGGTTAATAAAAACTATGGATAATGACAACTTTAACTTCAAATTATTGGGCCGGCCCATAAACAAAACCTAAAGACAATATAGAATGCCGACAAGTTGCAATTTGACACCGAAGACCACAGTGGTATCTATTAAGTAGTGTATTATTTAGTGGCTTAGTTTGTAGATCGATTAGCTCTCAGAAGAGTTGATTCCTTTTCCATCCGTTTAATGTCACATGATGAGACGTTCCAAATAAATATGATTGAAATGAACTAGATCCGTAGATCGCTGGTTGTGTCAGTGTTTGAGTCCTTTAATTTGTTGGGGGAAAAAAGGAAAAAAAATAAAGTTTTAAGATGAGAGGTGAGGATATAAATTTTTTGGCAAGTAAAAAAAATGAGGAGGACGAGGACGAGGACGTTGCAATCTAACATTAGAAAATCCATCTTCATTTAAGACCTTCTGGTCAAATTGAGATCCAATTTGAAATTTTTTAAACCTAAACCTAATTGAAACAACAAAAAGAATATTTTAAATTCACTATATAATCAATTGATCCTCTCCTGTGTGTGGTCTTTGGTCCTATGTCTAGTGTGTTTCTATTGTCAAAGAACAACAACTTAAAATGGGAAATGCAACAACTATGTAAATGTGTTAAATTCTCGATTTAATTGTGTTGTGGTGTTGTAAGTTACAACACCATGTATTTTGTTACATGATCAAGGATGGAGCCGGGATTTAACTTTAGTGGAGCACTATGTAATACTTTACAAATTAGATGACTATATATGCCAAAAAGTAATTTTAGGGGGGGCATTATGTAATAATTTATAAATTATATACCTATATATATAAAAGATTTAATGGGCAAGCCTGAGTCCAGAGGGCACGTGCCCCCTTGGGCCCCAGCTAGCTCCATCTTTGTATATGAGTGTTGCATTTTCGATTTAAATATAATGTGTAATTATTAGTCCCATTGTTGCATGAATGTTGCATCCGTGATGTAACATGTTACATTGTGGTACAGGGCGAAAAAAAATATACAAATTTGAGGGAGCCAACCTAGCAAATGTTAAATTTAATGTTAAAAATAAAATAAAATAATTGTAATGATTTTTCTTTCTATGCATTTTTAAAAAAAGGTTAATGGCCAATAAATGAGATTGTCAAAGTGACAGAGCATTCTTTTTCTTCTCTTGAGTTCATAGCTTATTATATATGTATTTGTGTATATTTGTTACATGGATATTCTAAAAGACTACTAGTACGTTTTAGCAAGGATTAGAATAATAAGTAAGTAATACTTTCTTTTACTAGATTTGAATTTTAAAAGTTAAGACTAAAAATGTTTATTAGATTTTGAAGGGCACAACTAATTTCTTTTGCAAATTACCTTTAATAACCATGATAGCCATTAATAATAACCATGATAGCCATTAATCGCAATTTTTTTTTTAAACAAAAAAAAGTTCTTATACAAAATTCACTATTAATAACTGTTAATAAATGAAGAATGATTTGAAGTCCGAAAGTCGGTAATTCTAATTGATTTGTGTGAGTGAGGGCTGATGTCATCATAATGTCATTAATATTTTTGACGTCATAATGACATCAATCCTTACTCAAGTAAAATTAATCGAATTTGTCAGTGTCTTGCTATTATTATTATTATTATTATTAAATAGGTTTTGAGGTAATTTTGAAGGAGGTGGGGGGTGAATGACCTCCTAGCCCACCCCTGAAAGATGCGGGCTGGCATATGGGACAAGAGAGGATCCTGGTTCCTATCTCGACCAAGTTGTAGATCTATCACACGTTTTTTAAGTCTAGCTTAGGTTCAACAACTACGAATTTGAACGACCAAATTCCAACCCTACCACGACTTTCAAGTCTGGCTCAGGGGTCGACAAATAAAACCGATTCTATCCGACTTGAAAGTGCCATGGATGTGGTGGTAGGGTTAAATTGAACATGGGAGAAGACTACTTCTGTGAAACAACCTTTATACCCAAATCTGTTCTTGCCCATCCCAACTTTGATAACATTGAATAACATTTATTTTAAAAACCAAACTCCATCCCACAGACTTCACTTCAATCTAAATGCAGCTGTACCAAGATATTTAATTTAGGTTGTGTCATGTATAAGGGCATTTTAGACAACCAAGCATAAGCCTCTACCACCCCTCGAAGGGACAATTAGACAAAAGCCCCACACCACTCAACCCCCCTAAAATAGGAAATATATCATATATGTCCAATTCATATCCAGACCATATATTCCTTTTTAGCAGACAAGAATTGGCATATTGCATACACCATATCCCAACCAAATCAATTTGGATCCAACTCAACTAACTACAACCTCATTCCTAGTTTGACTTTTCAAGTTTTATATATATATATATATATATATATATATATATTTTTTTTGTGTGTGGCAAGTTGCAACAACCCTTATCAAGAATAGTTCAAATTGTGTTATTATTTAAATCAAATTTGATGTTATTCAATTTGAAACATTTTTAAGGGTTAATATATGATGTAATGATGCAAAATTGAATATATAAGAATATTGGTTGAGTCATGAGAGTACAAATGCTACTGTCTCAAATTTTCTATTTTGTTTAATAGCAAGGCATTATCAAATTCTATTTAGTGTTCTAAATTATTTTAAATATCACCATACGATATGAAAGTAAAATTTTATAAAAAATTCTGTATTGATAGTATAAGACACTAAATTGTAATACAACGACTACAGCACAAAATGCAACACCATAAAATAATGACATAACATAATTATTGCGTTAATAAGATGAAGTTATGTAAGCCATGTAAGACAATAATCATGGATTAAAACAAAACTATGAAAGGATCCAGATTCATGACAACACAGTTTAAGTTATGAACCGTATTATACATTATTAAAAAATTAAAAAGTCAATTTCTATTCCTCTCTTCCCAGCAATTTTTTTTTTAATGTTGTAATATTATAGAGCTTATGGATGGAAAGTAATTTTGAATAATAGAATTAAATTTAAAAAATAATAAAAATAATAAAAGTCAATTTCTTGTCCTCTCCTCCCAGCATTTTTTTTTTAATGTTGTAATATTATAGAGCTTATGGATGGAAAGTAATTTTGAATAATAGAATTAAATTTAAAAAATAATAACAATAATAAAAGTCAATTTCTGGTCCTCTCCACACTCCACCCAACATTTTGAATAATTTTGAATAATAGAATTAAATTAAAATAAAAGTTTAGGCAGAATTAAAATTGTAATTCCTGTCATATAAAATCAGCAAAAAAAAGTGTATAGACAAAAATAAATAAAAAGACAAGACAAGAACAAAAAATAGAACGTTTGGGTACTTGGGCTTTTTGCCTATTGTAGTAAGAAGATATGTTGGAACAAGGAAAATCATAATTCTGAGTCACAGTGGGTCATTTTAAGCCGCCTTGTCGGAGAATCCAGTGGTGTGGGAGAACATGGTGACGATGAAGGCACTGATGATTGTGGTGATGGCGATGATGGTGTTGATGATGAGAGAGAGAACGATTGTGGGCCCTGCGTCGTCAACGGCGATGATGGCCACGATGACGGTGTTGATGAGATGGACGGTGGTGATGGAGACTGCGAAACATCCGACGACTCCCGCGACTTTCTCTTGTTCATCCCTCTATCCTCCCTCTGCAGCATCCGATCATCTCCAAACATGTAGTTTTTCAAACGTTTCACATCCGATAATTTTACCGGTTTTACTATAAAATCCTCTGCTCCTTCCTCCAAACACCTGTTATCACATCAAAAACTTATTTATAAATGTATAGAATAGATATATATATGTTCGTGTGAAAGAAAGAAATTATTACATGACCAGGAACAAGATTTCCCGCCTTTCACATGACGACTTGTATTCAAACGTGACCAATTTTATTTAGCTTTTCGATTACACTGATCATATAATACCGAGTAATTTTTTTGGTTGACTTTTGTCACTTTTGTGCTTAGGACGGAGAAAGTCTACAATACCCGATTTTCACGCCTTTAGTTGAATCATCACTAGGTAAACCTCAACATCAAAGGTAAAAAAAACATAAAATTCTCTTGGTATGGAAAAAGTCTACAATACTCCGATTTTTCTTTCGACAAAAAAGACCAAGGGGACGGTACTCGGAGTACTAAAAAAAAATCTTTTGATATGAAAAAAGTCTACAATACCCGTGAGGCAACGTTACGAGGTACCGTTTCGGTCATGCAAAATTTTATCATTACACCATTTGAATTTTTTTTTTACCATTACGGTAGTGAAATTCAGCAACATGGAAAAGTCGTGATAGAGAATCAAAAATTTGATTCGGAGAAGACTTTTGACATTGAAAAATATGATTTGAATTGGTGGACTTCCAATCATATTTTAGATTTACAAATGTAAGGTATAAAATAACAAGGAAAGTCATGGAATATGTGTGCGTATTTTAAAATGTTTACAAATTTATTGAGGTACATACATATGCGTATAGCATATATACTACTAGAAAGCAGTGGTGGTTGAGGTGTTGATTTTAGACCTAGACGATGACCTATCGCATTCAAAAATAAAAAATATAATTGAATTCCAATATTCCCCTCAATTATATTGTTAGAAATTTATGATAAAATAGCAATCAATTTCAGATCATATATGTATAATAAAATTTAAACACATATATAAATGTGTGTGTGTGTGTGTGTGTGTGTGTCTATATGTGTGTGTGTGTGTGTGTGTGAAAACTCAACATGGTCAAGTACCTGTCGATTCTTGCCAAAACGTTTTCAGATGACATGATCACAACTGGTATTTCTCTAAAAGTAGATGATTCCTGCAAAAAAAAAAATTTAAAAACAACAAATTAAAAATTAAAAAAAAAAAAAATGAGAACCTCCAATTTTTTCCCAACTCAATTCACCTATTTTCGGATATTATGAATCATAATTATTTATAAAATAAAAATAAAAAACAAACCTTGATCTTTTTGAGCAAATCGTAGCCAGTCATTCCAGGCATACAATAATCAGTGATAATCATATCCACCTTCAGACCCTAAAATCAAACCAATAAATCAATCAATAAAAAAAATCACAACTTTTCATTACAAAAAAATAATAATAATAATAATAAATAAAGCTAAAATTCTAAAATTCTGGTACTCACATCAAAACCAACAGAGCTCTTATCCTCATCTAGACCCAAAAATTGCAGAGCTCTTCTTCCACTGTCCACTGCTGTCACTGTAATAACATTTCACTCTCCATTCACAATCTCAAACAAAACCCAACATATACACATTGTATATACACAAATTACATATATAAATATATATGTGGTTATATATATATATATATATATGTATGTATGTATGTATGTGGGTGCTTATATATAAATGAATTGGAGAAAAATTTTGTTCCTTTAGAAGAGGAGATTTTTGAATTGGAGAAAAAATGTATCTTTACACCCACATACACACATATAAATATTATATATATATATATATAGTCACATATATGTGTGTGTGATATATGAATGAATTGGAGAAAAAATTCAAAATTGTACCTTTACAAGAGGAGATTTTGAGCAAGCGTTCGATGACCTTTCGATCAACGAGACTATCATCAACGGCAAGGACATGCACTTCGTGAGAATCAGACGGCGAGAAATCGAACCCACCATCAAGCTTCTCCGACCTCCTCCGCCGCGAAAAAACGCCGTTCCTGGCCATAACTGATCGGAATCTGACACACAAAATCTCAAACACCCACCTCCGAATTACTCCGAAATAGAGTGAAAAAAAAAAAAAAGAACCCACCTCTGGTTATGTGGGCAATATAGCTTTTTTTTTTATATATACACATATACATAGACTCTGTGAATTGTGTAATTGCCTGTCTGTCTGTCTCTGTCACACACGTCTCTTTCTCTCTCTGTATAGCGATCTTTCTCTCTCTAGGAAATCTGCAAAATCTACCCCATTTTTTAAGCAATACGCTGAGATTCTGAAATCCACTTTGGTGCGATCTCCATATCCACCACTGTGTGACTAGACGACTATTGGGTTTTTGATATTTCGCTGATACGAATGAGATTTTGGAGATTTTGATTTTGATTTTGATTTTTTGGGTTCATGTCGCGAGATATGACTTTGACTGGAGGTCAATTGACGATCGCGCCGTCAAATTAGAAGGTGGAAATGACCGACACGGTTCAGGACCGACTGAGAGAGAAAGAGGGAACAACCGGCGTTTACCGGTGACGTTTAGTGAACCACCGGTTGCTTTTCAGTGTCACCACCATTAAAGACCACACATATTTTCTGCAATGTTACGTCACCGTTTTGTTTCCCGTTCAACACAATTAAATTGTAATTCAATATATTCTTATTTATAAAAGTAATACTTTAACATATAATTATTTTTAAAGTAAAGTGCAAAAAAAAATTCTTAACTATTTTCAAATTTACAAATAATACCCTAGTATATTTTGTACACAATATTTCCTGGCTATTTTTCATTAAATAACCATAACGTCATTTCTTATTAAATTATACTTAATTTATATTTTTTTACTAAAATAAATTATGAAGAAAAATCATATTGTCCATCAAATTTGTATAAATTTATCTTTAATTCTTTATATAAAAAAGTATAAAACTTTAAAACAATTTAAGTAATTTATTAAGTTTTTATGAATACATTGTATAAAAACCTCGTGAAATTTTTTTAATTGAGTATAATAAATTTTATTATCAATAGTAAATAAAAATAAAAAATTCCTAGTTGATCCTCACAAGGGCCCCCCTCAAGGAATTAAAAATAAGAGAAAATTAATATAAATAGTATAATTAATATTTAGATAAAAGAAAAGATATTATAAATAATTTAATAAGAAATGATAAATTTAATTGTAAAAAGTAAAATAGTCTTTTGTGATGAATTTGTTTTTAATTACAACAAATACTTAGTTCAGGAGTAGGGATGGCAATTTACCACTCGAGGACGGATACCTGCCCCACGTCGCCCGGTTTATAGCAATTTTGGGGGACCGTCTAGCTTATTTGGGCAGGAATGATTTTTATTAATGAAAACTCGTGCTGGTTTCGGGGTGGGGACGTGGGGAGGTTACCCCACCCTGCCCCGTTTAGGTAGATAAATTACTAAATTACCTTTATTTTATTAATATATGTAGTTAATTCTAGAAACCGTAAGTCACATTCACTCACTTTCTCGACCGTTCTATTGAGCGACAGAGCCTTACGAACTAAGAACGCTCATACCCTTGAATTTTATGTTAAATTATTAATTGCTCATTTTTTTATGATTTTTTTCAATAGTTATATAATTGTATTTAAGGAAAAAAAAAAAATTTAAAGAGGAGAAATTTTGAAACTAAATTGGGCGGAACGGTTGCCTACGGGGGTAAAAAAGTTAAATGGGTGGGGATAGGGTTGAAAGGTTCCTATTTAAACGGTTTTGGGCGGGGACGAGACGGAGGTTTCTAAACGATTGTGAGGGCGGGGAGGGTACACCCGCCCAAAACCGTTCCCGTTGCCATCCCTATTAAAGGGTTTGTAGTTCAAGGATTATTTACTAAAGTCCAATAGTTTAGGAGTTTTACACTTTACTCTTATTTTTAATTTCACTACTAATACTATTAATATATATATATATATATATATATATATATATATGTATGTATTACATTAACAAAAAAAACATACTCACGTATTCACTTACTTCTATAAAGACTAAACTCTTGACCTTTTGTTTTGAAATGCAAAAAAAAACACCACTTTTATAATTTTAACACTGTTACTTTTTCACAATTTAATTGTGTTGAACACTTACAGAACAATGTTGTGCACAGTAACCATTACTTTTCAGCATTTAGTCGAGTTAAACGTTTACAACATAGTGTTGTACACTGCAAAAGATTTGATACGATAAATAGATGTGCGTGTTATTTGTCAAAATACAATATAAATAGTAATGGTAAAATATAAATCGTATTAAACGCATACAATACGGTGTTATATACTATAAATGATCTGATCATGAGTCTATAAATAGTTATATGTGTTATTTATCAAAATACAATAAATAAAATCATGAGTCGTTATTTTAGATGTGATGGTAGTATTAATTTTATTCAATTTCGTGTTCCTATTTTTAGGTACCAAGGTGACATATTTGGTGTACAAATTAACCCAACTGTTTATTAAAAGTTCCAACTTCCAACTTGACTCATCTAAAATTCATTTGGAGTTGGATCATGTTTTCAAAAGGTAATGCTACAATGAGTGTGTTCTCAATGATTTTGCCTCCTACTCATTGTTGTATTGTGTTTTACTAATGTTCTTGTTATATTCTCTTTTAAAATTCAATGTCGGTTGATATTTTTGTTTTTATCTGATACTGTAGTAGTAAATACTAAATAGTGAAAAAAAAAAAAAAATTTATTTTGCACAGTACTAACACGTTTCGTGAATAGTGCCCAATAATTGAAACACGAATTTAGTATTTTTGTATGTTTTCGCACTATAGCGCTATGTACAGTAGTAATGAATTATATATATATATATATATTATAATAAAAAAAAAACTCTTATTAGAACAAATGGACGTTACTCAAATATGTTTTCGATTATTATTAAAACAACCTATAACAAAAAAACTTGTTTTTGTTGTGGATTAAAACAAAATATGTATCAAACAAGTCTTAAGTTATACAAAATTATAGTGAAAGCGAGACCGAAAACAAAAAAAGATAAAATTTAAGTCACACAAAATAAGAGTGAAAATACGAACAGGCCGGGTAAAAGAGGGTACGAAACATTAGCGCGACATTTGTTCAGAAGAATTGACTAAACTTGAAAATGTGTGTATATTAGCAAACTATTTTAAAATAAATAAGAAATGAAAATATTGATAAAAAAGTAATTTATCAAATAATTAAGAATGTTTCTATCCATTATTCATACTCTTATTATGGCCAAAATTTTACACCAACCGACTTTTCCTTCAATTAAATACAAATTAATTAAATCAAGTAGGATGTAATTGTTGATTGTACCATATTCACATAGACTTGATGTGTCATTAAGTGATATAATTGATATTCAATGTTCTACTTTCCCCGTTATTGTTAGACCGAACAAATCTCAGAACTATTTAGGTGGCATTTTAATACTAACTAAATTAAAAGAAAAATATTTTTTTAAAAAAATATTTTATATCAAAACAAATGAAGATAAATATACTCCGAATATTTGATTTTTCTATTTATGAGTTAAAATTCATTTTAAGAATATCGATAATTGGTTAAAAGAGGTATCCGAATATCGATTTTTTCCCTCATTACACAAAACAAATTAGCATTTGGATTCAGAATCATTCTATCCCTGCCAATGCTTTTTCCAAATATCAGTAAAAATTTGGTAATCAATTCTTTGCACTCAATGAAATTTTAAAAGGATCGAAATTTCAATAACTTGATTGTTTATAATCAGTGGAATAAAAAATGGTATATTATACTAACATATGTTTGGGCAAAGTTATACATTGGTTGACGTTTAATATTTATTATTTTGACCTCTCAAGAGATTAGGCATGTGCGTTCACAGTTATTCATATTGTTTTTTTCCGATAGACTTGTTGACCAAATTTTAATAAAATGACAATTTTATCCTTCCTTGGTATGAAAATCTTGCTCTTCTTTTGTTTAAAAATAAAGGCATTATTGACTTTCTACACACAAAAGCACCTTTCAAAAGCTATGAACAGATTTAGAGAAGATCAATGTACTAAGCGTTAAATGTTTATTGCATCTAATTTGTCTAGACTTTATATGAGTAATTTATTCAATTTTTGTAGCAGAACTTTGGCTCTTTTTCTCAACAAATTTGAAACCTGTTCAATATTTTTTTCTTGTATAGATTCAAGAATTGTATGTCTTTTTCCGATCGTCATTGATGACTTGGCATTTGTGCCTTTGCAATGATAAAAGAAAAAAAAAAAATTATGTAATTTAACCTATAAAAAAATGTATAAAGGCTTTGGAAGGAGAGTCATTTTACTTATTAAAGGATGTGTGTTATATTTTCAAATTAAATCATAGTATTTTTTTTACTCCTAAAATATATTTTGAAATTAAAACAGAGTGACTGGAGGTTGCAACAAGAAGTGTGGCAATAGCGCGGCATAAGAAAATAGTGTGTTTTATTTATCACAAAAAGTAACTATTTGTTGGTGAATCTAAATTGACTGAACCCCTGAAACGAACACGACAAGGGAGGAAAAGAGCAAGATTTGTGGGTCCCATTGAAATCTTTTAGTGGGGGCCACCCACATTTCCTCTTTCCTAGGTTGGACTTTTGTGTTGAGATTTCAATTTTTCGGACAATGCAGAATCGAATCTCGTGAGATAATGTATCATCGAATTTGCAATTTTCCTCTCGTAGTCATATCATCACTTTGCCGATTCTTCGGATGGGGAGAATGCTAATCTCAGCTGCGGTTTTCTGGTTTTCGTCACAAACGGATTCAAAACCGTTCGATCTAACTTCCCCACCACTCCTAATTTTTCATCATTTTACGTTGATTTATTTTCAAATTTGATTATCGCATTAGCTTAATTGGTAATGTTTCTAAGAGTATTTGTATTCAAATTATTATGTCTTAATGGCTTTGTATAGCCTGATAGGTGACGTATAAATTAATACGCGATTATTTTTCAAGTTTAATTCGCGACTCATGTTAATTAATTTACATTGATTTTGTTTGAATTCGATACACTATGATCGAAACTATGACCGTGACCGATATATTTTTACAAGAGAAAAAAAAAACTACCACATCTAAATTTTTAGTCATTTTTAATAATTTAATCCTATTTACGTGAATCATTTTACATGTATCAAATAAAATACCGTCTTATAATTCAAAGTTCATAAAATTGCAAAAAAGAAGAAAGGAAATAGTATAAGCTCTCATTGG